CATGTGTCCAGACTCCCGCAAAACCCTCTCCATGTTTGATTCCGATCTGCGAAAGAAAACATGTCCGGACCTCTATGCGGATCGATACAGTCAAGCGAACAATCTCGCCGGCTGATGGTACTTACTGTACTTGAGTACCATAATGTATCATGATAAGATATTCATATACGTATGGAGTTGTCTTTGTCTGCTTTCTCTTGGATCTTTGGTCACATATATTCTCCAAAGGTAATATTGTCTCTGGTCTCTACTTTCTGCTCTGTCTGTACTAGGCTCCTACCAAGTGCCAACTAAGATCCAGAGTGTGTAATCACCGAAAATGCTAGACTCACGGGCATTTACGGAAGTAATATAGGGTTGTTCCATCTAATCAAACTAACCCCCCTGATTTTCAGGAAGGGTGGGCCCCTTCAGACCCCTTAAACCCAATTGTAATCCTCCACGTTAACTACCCTGTGAAGCCTGTAAAAATCCTCCCCGTGAATGTAGCATTACCGGTGTAATTACCAAGGGACTTCAGTTTATACCTAGCTAGCAACTCTATACGAGTAAAATTACATTGATCATTTAAATAACTTAACCCATCACATGAATCAATGGTTCTTTAACGTTTATTCTTTATGGAATTTGTATAGCTAAGGCTGGTCGTAGTGGGAGTATCATATATTAGTATTACTATATCCATGATGTATACATAAATTAATATCTTAAAAAGTCTCATGTATAAGACATTGTAGTATCATACTCCCTCCGTTTCAAAATAATTGTCTCAACTTTTGTACTAACTTTAGTACAAAGTTATACTAAATTTGAGACACTTATTTTGAGACGGAGGGAGTATTATTTATTATGATATGGTAGCACAACATACTCAACCTGAGAATCAAACAAGGGTAGAGTGACCATTCGAGGCATTAAGGGGAATATTTATTTTGTTAGATAGCCTTTTACGTATTTTTAGTGAATCGTTGTAAAAGATCCGTGTCAGAAACTTGCATCATCCTGTTCCAACTTCAGATATCTTCATCCCACATTTCATTAACACTTGCTTATGAAGAAAGAGCCTTACAGAATCAGCGAGACCCTTACGGGAAAGAACGAGAACGGAATCAGAAGAAATGACTAGTGCTGCCTAATAATTAATTACTGTGCACAGCGACTCTCCTTAAACCTAAGCCAGCGGTTGGCGAGGTCGAACTCCCAGAGGTGCTCCTGCTGCAGGATGTTGCCGATGACGGACACCCCGGGCCAGATGCCCTCCTGGAGCCCGATGCACTTGACGCCGGGCGCCGCGTCGATGACGTAGCTCTTGGTCGGGGGCTGAAGCCGCGCCGACCCGGCGAACCGCACCTCCAGCCTCGGGACGGCCGGCGGCGTGCTCGTGGCCGTCCAGTTGTAGCAGTACTCGAAGGGATCCATGGTCACCCGCGGCACTCCCGCGAGCTGCTTGCTCAGCGCGGCCACCACCGCCTTGTACGCCGGGGTGGCGAGGATGGTGAGGCTGGTGCCGGAGTCGAGGATGGCGCCGCCGCTCTTCTTGACGTCCCACACGTCGGCGGGGATGTCGAGCGCCTCCCCGGCGACGGAGACGGCGTCGACCGTGACGGCGTAGAACGGGGCCACCTGGGCGTCGAGCAGCAGCGGCGTCCTCGACGGCGACTGCGCGGCGCCGTTGGAGGCGTCGGGGCCGAAGGTGAGGTAGCTGGAGGTGTTGCGCGGGGCGAGGTGGTCGACGAGGCAGTAGGAGAAGCGGCCGCCGAAGCGCGCGGCGGCGCGGGAGGCGAAAGAGATGTTGCTGTTGCCGAGGCTGAGCACGCCGTCGGAGGCCTGGAAGCTCTGGCCGTCGTAGGAGGTGGTGCAGCCCAGCACCACCTCCTGCAGCTTGGCCTTCCTGTCCGTGCCGCCGCCTCCGTTGGAGCCGGAGAGGGCGATGGTGGCCGCGTCCGTGCCCACCACGCCGCGGGCCGACGAGTTGTCCTTGTACCTGCAAGCCACACGCACGATCAACGATCAGGTCAGCAACGTCGGTTGACAGTTGGTTAGGATCATCAGCTGGGTGGGCTAGCAGTTGGTCGGCACATGCAGAGATTCCAACAGAGGAGCAAAAACACAGCGCATCCGGGAAGAAAATTAGCAACGCATTATGATGGAGCCGAGTTGACCCACTCCAGCTAGAACACGCCCGATGTCTGTTGGTGATCGTGGGCCTAATGTGTTTATCTGATGAAATCGTACTTACAAGTTACTACTACAAGTGATGGTGGTGTGCCATGGGGACCGTGGCTTTTCGTAAGGCAGCATGCAGAAGGTAAACAACAGACAGAGCCAGCTTGCAAGCTACTACTACTACTACTCATATTCCATATGCTCTATAAGTTAACAGAATCATCATCATATAAAAAGATAACAGGTGGACGTATGCATCTTCCAGATGTAGAGGCCGGGAGTCATCCTCCTTTTCTAAAAAAAATAAAAAGATAACATGTCTTGTTCATGAACTGTAAAGCAAAAGGGAGCATTGTTCCTAGAGGTGGACCTAAGCACAGTGGAGGGCATAATAATCCATCATAGCTCAACACAGTTTTGTAGTCGGGTGACCCAAGTCTGTTTTAGGCAAAGAACAGTGATGCACCAATACGAATGTCAATCAATCTCATGAAGCTAGCTGGCTGGCAGACCAAATGAGCTACGCAGTGGCACCCCCATTGCCTCTTAAAGGCTAGAAGAGAGTACGTTTGTCTAGCTAATCATCATTTTTAGTTAGGATTAGTACAGCAAGGCATCGGACCTACGGGTGTTAATTGCCTGCAAAGCAGGTGCTGAAGATCGAGATCGGTGACAGGTCATATGCTGGGCTGGATAAGGGCGAACATGGCAAGATTCAGATACGGCGCGCCGAACCCAACTTGCATACGCACGTACGTACATGCCCAATAAACGAGCTGCGGCATGGTGCATTTCTCTAATCGCCTTTTTCTGAAGACCTAGCCGTTAACTGTAAAGCAGGTGCTAAAGCGATCGGTGACAGATCGATGAACACATGTTGGCCAAGAGCTTGCGGCCGAACATGGCAAAGTCTACTGGTCAACCTGAGGGCGCTACCACTTGTGGTAATAGTATCATGAGTTTCACGACGCTCCGTCCATAATGTAAGACGTTTTTTTGATACTACACGGAGGGAGTAAGTATGAACGACAGGGAGAACAAATCAACAGTCTTGGCAAAAGACAGAGTAGCCAGCAACAGGAGTGGTTCAGGACAGAGTAAACACTGCGTGTGTTTAAATGAATTTTAATCATCGTTCCCGGGGAACCGCATGGTATAGCTGTACTACGTACGTACGTGCAGGCGCACATGGCGCGCCACCCTAGCGTTGGTCGGTCGCCATCTACCACCTCTACCCAAGCTGCTCCATTTTTTATAGCAACGGGGCGGAGCAACAGCGCATCGCCGCTGGCGGCATGCGCGCGCCGCCGCCTAGCCGAGACGGCAACGTGCGCGCGGCGTGCCACCAGCGGAGCAAGCCGAGAGCGCGCACACCCACGCGGCGTGCGTCCAAATCTGGCGCGCGCGACAAGGTGACGCGGCCGCCTGACGCCAACGATTAAATACGGAGACCGCCTCAATCCCCCTGTCCGGGCTCGGAGACCGTGCATCATCACGATCGATCAAAACCAGAAGGGGAAATGGACGTCCTAGATATACTGCTGGACTCCACAGTGGGGTTGGTGAAAATCCAATGAATGCGGATTGAAGAGCGAGCGGGGCGGACGGGGGCCGATCGGCGGGGCTGGCTCTGATTCGTACCTCGTTCGGACATGCTCATGTTCATGCTCGTTCACCCACCTACGCGGGCGCGCGCAATAAGTGGCCGTAACGAACGCCGCAAAAGCCGAAGCAGGCAGGGCATAGCTCGGGGCTTCGTGAGTGAATGCTACACGCTATGCTCTGCCACGGCGAGGCGGCCACAGTCACCACGGCCGCGGCAAATTTATGGCCCCTGCGCGCACGCGACACCCACCCAGCGCCCAGGCCACTAGGCCAGCCACGGCGCGCACTTACTGCGCACCCGCTGCCGCGCCACCCCGATTCCAACCAAACCACCGTGTCGCACGATCCTGAGCGAGCTAAAATGGAGGAGCAACAACTTGGCAATGGTGGTGGCACTGACCTGTAGTCGTAGGCGCAGGGGGCGGTGCCGGCGGAGCAGTTGGCGAGGGAGAAGGGGACGTAGGACTTGCACGTGTCGGAGGAGCACGGGATGGGCGCCCACGACTTGGAGTCCGCCGGCCGGAACACGCGCGGCGAGCCTGACGGAGACGCGGCCGACGGCGGGGACGCGCCGCGGCACTTGACCCAGGTGAGGTCGCTGCCGGTGTCGGCGACGAGCACGAAGGGCTGCGCGGGGGTGCCCACGCGGAACCGCACGAAGTACTGCCCCGTGCCCGTGTACGCGCCCGACGTCAGGGGCATCGCGAACGCCGACGCCTCCGGGCCCGGGGCCGTCGACGTCTCGGCCGCGCGCCGCCGGCTTGGCGACGCCGACGCCAGCCTCCGAGAGATGTAGGCGTGCCGGTGCCGGTCGTCCCGCGCGCGCTCTGCCAGTGACGCGCCCGGAGCGGCGGGCACGAGCCGCAGCCGCGCCGACGCCCTGCTGCCCCGCCGGTGGTGGTGATCCCCACCGCCAGCAGCCGCCGCAGCGACACAGGCCAGCAGGATCAGAACGAGAACGGCGACCCCACAACGCGCCATTGCTTCCTCCTCCTTCGCAAGCTGCTTCCCCGGACGACAATGGCGAGCTGAGCAGGGCGGAGCAGAGCTTGGCGGCCCCTGCTTTTTGGCAGTGTCCGGCAACGGCGAGGGGAGGCGGCTTTTATAAAAGTCGCCTGCGCTCTCCAAACATGGACGGATATAACGCGGTTGATTGCGCTGGGTGCTTGCTTCGTTGGCGATCGCTGCGATTGCGGGTCGAGAATCATTTCTTGCCCGATTCGGCTCGACCCGTTAATCATGTAGCCACGAGCGGTGTGTCAGTCGGAGGACACAGGACAGTGTATGCAAACTAGGCAACCGGATGATATCTTCGCAAAACAATGTTATGTGGTTACTTAGGGTGTTTTGCACATAACTATTATGGTTCTTCTATGATTTGTGAAAGAAATCAACTTCTAGCCAATGCTTGCAAGTTAGGCAAAACGAGAAAATCAAGAAAAAAATTATAGTTCTATGTAGTAACAAGTATATCAAGTAAATTAGTGTTTGCTTGATTGTAAGTAATCAAGTAAATCATTACTGTAGAGGCTCAAGAGGTCAAGCAAATCTCTACTATTAAAGATGAATCCGTAGGTCGTCGCCGTTTGCACGTAGTCATTACTGTAAAACAATTTCAAAACCGAGCGCCGAATTAATTTGGATATCAAGTCATTAATTTCATTACTTAGATACTACTCCTCCTTTCCGGTTTATAGGGCTTATCTCAAAATTTTAGTTTTTCCATTTTATAAGGCTCAATTTGGTTGTTTTCCATCACATGTTCAGATTTCAAAGTGCATTAAATCATTGCATGCAAGTATTAAGATAAAATTGACCAATGCATGTAATTTATGCATGCATGCATTGCAATTAATGCATTGGTAAACATATTTTTTTGAGGAAAACAAGAGCATTAATTGGATGCTTTTGCAAACTACAAAAAATATTCCACCACTCATCATCTACCTTGGTTGGTGAGATTTTTGAATTGAGCCTTATAAACCGGAAAGGAGGGAGTAGTTAATTACCTATGCAATTAATTTGGTCCACTTTAGTAAGTATTTTTTTCCCAAAGAATCAATTTGTACACCAAGTCATTAATGCAATTAATTAATTAGTCATACAGATAATTAAAAGTATATTTTCATTTCCAATTAGACATATAATTAATTGGGTAGGCAGTTAATCTCGCCCCGCTCGTGGGCGAGGACGGCCAGCAGGTTCTCGCTGATGTTGGGGCCTGCCAGGAGGCTCTCGGCGACATGGCTGACGAGCGCTTGTCAACATGGACAACGATCAACATGCGCTTGTGACATGAGCGGCCAAGTGTTTTCTAAGATGGACGACAACTATGCTCTGCAGGACATCCACACGTTGACTGTTGCCGATTTAGAAATAATGGGCCTAAACCTATGTACAATTGTTGAAATTTCAAAGAGGCCCATGTATACAATGAAAGTGGTGGTTCGAAAGTTTACTGTTGCCGATGTTAGAAATAATGGGCCCAAACCTATGTACAATTGTTAAAATTTCAAAGAGGCCCATGTATAAAATGGAAGTGTTGGTTTGAAAGTATAATCTCATCCCAGAGTTGACGAGGTGTGTGCTACTTTTTGAGTTTGTGTTGGTTTTTTCCCTAAAAGAGAAAGGGTGATGCAGCAAAATAGAGATACATATTTCTCTTAGTTTGAGAACCAAAGTATCAATCCAATAGGAGGTACGAGCAAGTCTCCAATCTATGCACCTACACAAATAACCAAACACTTGCACCCAACGGGATAAAGGGGTTGTCAATCCCTTCACGGTCACTTGCAAGGATGAGATCTGATATATATATATATATATATATATATATATATATATATATATATATATATATATATAAGATTACTAAAACGTAAAACAAAGTAAAAACAAATACATTGCAGCAAGGTATTTTTTTTTTGGTTTATAGATATGAAAATATATGATGGAAAATAGACCCCGGGGCATAGGTTTCACTAGAGGCTTCTCTCTTGAAAGAAAACATACGGTGGGTGAACAAATTATTGTCAAGCAATTGATAGAAAAGCACAAAGTTATGACAATATCCAAAGCAATGATTATGAATATAGGCATCATGTCCGTGTCAAGTAGACCGAAACGATTCTGCATCTACTACTATTACTCCACACATCGACCGCTATCCAACATGCATCTAGAGTATTAAGTTCATAAGAACGGAGTAACGCCTTAAGTAATATGACATGATGTAGACGGATAAACTCAAGTAATATGATGAAAACCCCATCTTTTTACCCTTGATGGCAACAATACAATACATGCCTCGCTACCCCTACTATGTCACTGGGTGAGTGTTGGAGAATATAGTAATTTCAAAAAAAATTCTACGTACACGCAAGATGGTATAGCAACGAAAGGGGAGAGTGTTGTCCACGTACCCTCGTAGACCGTAAGCGGAAGCGTTAGCACAACGCGGTTGATGTAGTCGTACGTCTTCACGATCCGACCGATCCAAGCACCGAACATACGGCACCTCCGAGTTCAGCACACGTTCAGCTCAATGACGATCCCCGGGCTCCGGTCCAGCAAAGCTTCGGGGATGAGTTCCGTCAGCACGACGGCGTGGTGACGATGATGATGCTCTACCGGCGCAGGGCTTCGCATAAACTCCGCGACGATATGACCGAGGTGGAATATGGTGGAGGGGGGCACCGCACACGGCTAAGGAACAATCCGTAGATCAACTTGTGTGTCATGGGGTGCCCCCCTGCCACCGTATATAAAGGAGGGAGGGGGGAGGTGCGGCCGGCCTAGGAGGGGGCACGCCAAGTAGGACTCCCTCCTTCCTTGTTGGAGTAGGAGAAGTGGAAAGAGGGGGAGAGGGAAAAGGAAAAGGGGGCTGCCCCCCTTGTCCAATTTGGACCAGAGGGGGGGGGGGCGCAGGCCTCTTTCCTTTTGGCCTCTCTCCTCTATTCCCGTATAGCCCAATAAGGCCCATATACTCCCCGGCGAATTCCCGTAACTCTCCGGTACTCCGAAAAATACCCGAATCACTCGGAACCTTTCCGAACTCCGAATATAGTCGTCCAATATATCGATCTTTACGTCTCGACCATTTCAAGACTCCTCGTCATGTCCCTGATCTCATCTGGGACTCCGAACTTCTTCGGTACATCAAAACTCATAAACTCATAATATAACTGTCATCGTAACGTTAAGCGTGCAGACCCTACGGGATCGAGAACTATGTAGACATGACCTAGAACTATTCTCGGTCAATAACCAATAGCGGAACCTGGATGCCCATATTGGTTCCTACATATTCTACGAAGATCTTTATCGGTCAAACCGCATAACAACATACGTTGTTCCCTTTGTCATCGGTATGTTACTTGCCCGGGATTTGATCGTCGGTATCCAATACCTAGTTCAATCTCGTTACCGGCAAGTCTCTTTACTCGTTACGTAATGCGTCATCCCGTAACCAACTCATTGGCCACATTGCTTGCAAGGCTTATCGTGATGTGCATTACCGAGAGGGCCCATAGATACCTCTCCGACAATCGGAGTGACAAATCCTAATCTAGAAATACGCCAACCCAACATGTACCTTCGGAGACACCTGTAGTGCTCCTTTATAATCACCCAGTTACGTTGTGACGTTTGGTAGCACCCAAAGTGTTCCTCCGGTAAATGGGAGTTGCATAATCTCATAGTTATAGGAACATGTATAAGTCATGAAGAAAGCAATAGCAACATACTAAACGATCAAGTGCTAGGCTAACGGAATGGGTCATGTCAATCACATCATTCTCCTAATGATGTGATCCCATTAATCAAATGACAACACATGTCTATGGTTAGGAAACATAACCATCTTTGATTGATGAGCTAGTCAAGTAGAGGCATACTAGTGACTATATGTTTGTCTATGTATTCACACATGTATCATGTTTCCGGTTAATACAATTCTAGCATGAATAATAAACATTTATCATGAAATAAGGAAATAAATAATAACTTTATTATTGCCTCTAGGGCATATTTCCTTCAGTCTCCCACTTGCACTAGAGTCAATAATCTAGTTCACATCGCTATGTGAATTCACATCTGCATGTGATTAATACCCATAGTTCACATCATCATGTGATCAACACCCAAAGGGTTAACTAGAGTCAATAATCTAGTTCACATCGTTATGTGATTAACACCCAAAAGAGTACTAAGGTATGATCATGTTTTGCTCGTGAGAGAAGCTTAGTCAACGGGTCTGTCATATTCAGAGCCGTATGTATTTCGCAAATATTCTATGTCCACAATGCTCTGCACGGAGCTACTCTAGCTAATTGCTCCCACTTTCAATATGTATCCAGATTGAGACTTAGAGTCATATGGATTGGTGTAAAAGCTTGCATCATTGTAACTTTTACGACGGGCTCTTTTATCACCTCCATAATCGAGAAACATCTCCTTTGTCCTCACTAAGGATATTGTTAACCCATGTCCAGTGATCTACTTATTAGATCAAAATTGTATTCCTTTGCCAAACACAGAGCAAGGTATACAATAGGTCTGGTTCACAGCATAGCATACTTTATAGAACCTATGACCGAGGCATAGGGAATGACTTTTCATTCTCTTTCTATTTTCTGCAATGGTCGGGTCTTGAGTCTTACTCAACTTCACACCTTGTAACACAGGCAAGAACTCCTTCTTTGACTGTTCCATTTTAAATTATTTCAAAAATTTATCAAGGTATGTACTCATTGAAAAATCTTATCAAGCGTCTTGATCTATATATATAGATCTTGATGCTCAATGTGTAAGTAGCTTCACCGAGGTCTTGCTTTGAAAAACTCTTATTCAAGTATCCTTTCATGCTATCCAGAATTTCCATATCATTTCCAATTAACAATATGTCATCCACATATAATATTAGAAATGCTACAGAGCTCCCACTCACTTTCTTGTAAATACAGGCTTCTTTAAAAGTCTGT